GTAATGGCTTGTGGATAATGGTGAAAATATTTGATGATGTGACTCCGGGGAAGCAATTATGGTTAACCCCTCATTTGTTTGGCATTTTCAAGGATTGAACTGTCCCACAAAACCAAATTTTCCAGACAGCTAAAACTTTCCTATTTATGTCTCTTGAGTGTTTTTAACCATACTCATTGGAGATGTTTCTGAAGTAGATTATTCCATTTTCTTCCCTTCTTAAACTGAGAAACTATAAGAAATATTGTTTCCTTGGATACCTGTGACTCTAAATATGAGAAAACCCGATCAAGTGAGGTCAAAATAGTGAAGACTTGTAATTGCCTCAAAAAACAAGAAACCTCAGAGGTGATCAAGTCAGTGGTTCAACGATACCAAGCTGACCTCCTCACAGACTCTAGCTGGGGGTCACAGCTCCAAGACTCAGAACTTCACGTGGTAGGATCAAAGACTAGAATGAAATGGGGGCTTCTGCCTCCACATGTCTCTAACCAGAGAGGAAAATATTTCTCAGAAAAGCCCTTGCCAATTTCCGGTCAGATCCCACTGGCAACAGTGAGTCAGATTTCCATGCTTGGGGGGAGTGAGTACAGCTCACTTGTAGAGTGCTTGTCTAACTTGTGTGAGGCCCGGGTTCTAATCCCCAGTGCCACCAACAGCAGTCACATGCCTTGACTTCTAGGAGTCTAAGAGAATCAAGCACTTGCAAACTGGATAAGAGAAGGGAGCTCTGCTCGTGGGAGGAAAAGATAAAGTCTGTGAGGTAGCAACCAAGGGTGGTTACATCTTCATCAAGATTCAGGGTGAGGGGTGTTGCTACTGTACTAGCCTGAAGGTGACTTAAATGTCCCTGCATTCTGTGCTCCTACACTAAGTGGCTTCAGACTAGGATTTTCCCCTGCTGTTTTCATTTATTATTTATTATACTGTCCTTTCCCCAAGCCAGACTGCTAATCATCATCAATACCTGCTACTAAAGCACTTTATCATTATCTTGCTGTGATTATGATGTTTTCTTTTATTTCTGAGGATGACAATTCCTAGAACCAAAGTTGTTAGAACTATGCCTAAAATATTGAGAATCAGTCAGGCTGCCCTGTGTATCCAGTGCATGGGATGGAGTTTCTTTTGGCTGTTCTAGGGCCATTTTTCCATGGTTGGTAGCTTTGAAGAAATGAGAGCTTCCTATTGAGCTTTGTATCTGAGATACCCCTTTCCTGGAGTCTCTTACAGTGAAATGATGAGCTTTGGGGGACAGGCAAGCGCAACTACACACTGCACCTTACAGTGGTGTAGAGAGAGGCAGCGTGCTTTGTCTGCATTCAGATTCCTTTGATGCTGCCGACAGGTTGCTCCCTGAACTACCGCTAACTCCGTGGCAGTGGCCACTAGGAACCATCATGTAGCAGCTATCTAGAGTGTGGCTTCATCGTTCCTATCTTCTCTCAGGTGGCCAAAGCCCTGTGAACTACACCCGAGAAGGATCCAGCTTGTGCAGAATAGAAGTGTTCTGTATGATTTATCTGAACAAGCTCCTAAAGAAAGAACCATAAGAGCTATTCAGGTCGACTGAGAGCTGATGAAAGCGCACAGGAAGAAGGAAGGAGGGAGCCGCTGTCAGAGTAGGGCTGACAGTAGGTAGTGGATGATGCGCTCAGGGCTCAGGCGTGTGCCAGTCATTGCCAAGACAGCAAGTGGTTAAAGTGTTCATAATAGCGCAACTATGATATCACATTGCTTAAATTTGTGAAGTTCCTTCAGAACAAGTTAGCTGTTTGAAGACCTAAATTAATTCTTTTTCATCAGTTAACCTTTAAGTAAAAGTTAAGTGACAGAAACATTTGGAGATAAGGAAAACACATTTTTGTTTTTGCTAACTTCTGACTAATTTGAGCCATTCAGATCTTATAAGAAAAATGCAGTGTTTCTGAAATACTTCAGTTATTACATCATCTTATACATGAAGTAGTTTTTAAAGAAGCCACCCCTTTAACTACTGACTATTTTAAACAGGATATAACTTACTTGAGCAAGGTATCTATAGCTTTAAATGTTTATGTTCTCATATGTGAGTTAAATAAAATAGACTATTTTATCTCTGAAATCCTTTGAGAGTTCCTGTTCATCTATAATCCAGTTGCTGTATGCACACAGAAACTTTTCAGATTCGAACATTGGCTACAACGGCACTGTTAGACAAATCTCCATAGAGAAAGAAACATGTAATACATGCTTCAAGGGCTCGTAGTGTACACCAGCATGTAGCTTGCTGATATTTAAATGAAAACAAAAATCAGGTATCTCACTTGCATGAGTGAGCAGATATTCACAGGTTTGTTGTTTCTGCTGCTAATGGGCATCTGAGTTAAAGAAGATGGTTCAAAACTAGGTGAACAAGTACTTCTCAACATATCAAAATACTAATTCCAGTGATTCTTTTCTACTACAAAACAAAATAATGGAAAAATAGAAGGCATTCCAGCCAGACGCAGTAATGCTTGCCTGGAGTCCTGAATACTTTGGAGTCTGGGGCCAAAGGATGGCATCAGCCCAGGAGTTTGGCACTAGCCAAAGTGCTATGCCTGGTCCTGGAAACTTTTCTCTTTGTGGGAAACTGGGAGAATGGCTCAGTCTGTAAAGTGCTTGCAAGAAGACATGAGTTTGAGCCCTAGGAAAGCTGAGCATGATGGCATGTGCTTATGATCCCAGCACTGGGGAAGCAGAGCCCCAAGGATGCTCGGGGCCTACCAGCCAGCTAGTCTACTTGCTGAGTTCCAGGCCACTTGGGATACCCTTTCTCAAAAGAGGTGGATGGTGTTCCTAAGGATGACACCTGAAGCACAGACACACTTATATAGCTACACACACACAATTCTTTGTTTTTAGAAAAATGTATTCTAAAGCCCCCAAACGCTAGTAGCTTGAACATCACATAGCCTGTAGTAGTATCTATACTGCTGTTGATACTGAGAGATGGCTGGTTTTAAATGCTTGCATTGAGTTCTACTACTTGAAATTATTTTTTTATAGGTAGGCTAGCATATTAAATACTTTTCTATTTTTAATGGTTGCTTTGGAGCTTAATATGAATGTTGTTTTCTATCTGAAAACTCGAATGTAATACAACAACTGCAACTGAAATCAAAGGAATGTATACATGATCAGGCATTTGTTTCTAAAAACTTAGAGGAAATTAAATGAGTATCAGAGGATATAAAAAGGTTAGAAAGCAGCATTTGTTCAAAGTAGCTGGAGATGTTACAGACCAAGCTTTGTTATATGAAAGAAGCCAAAGGAATTTTCTGAACTGAGTTATTTGTATTCTGGTTGCTCTTTTCCTACTTTCATTGTTCATGTGTTATAAACTCTGCTTTGGCAAAAATAGACTTGTATGGAGGCTGTCTTATTGTGACACAGAGAAATGTGACTAAAAAGTGGACATTCTCAGTCTTGCCCCTTTTCTTTGGTGGTGATGTGAGTCACCAGTAGAAACTCCCTGTGTCCTGAGTCAGGCAGCCTCAGAGCCCAGAGCACTCAGAAGTCTGAGAGAGCCTACCCATGGCAAGGGTTTTGTTGATGTTGTTGTTGTTGCTGCTGCTGCTGCTATTGTTGTTGTTGGGGTTTTTGTTTTTTCTTTTGCTTTTTTTAGCCTTACCTAACTTTTCCTTCAAGAAGTCACATATGGGGAAAGCACTCGTCCAGGTTCAGCATTGCCAACGCCGAGGGAGTGATAAATTCCATACCGTCCAGAACATGTTCCTTTAATATATGTATTTTGTACAGCTAAAGTTGTCATCCTTGTTTATTTTTTACAGTGCAGGCTTGGGTTTACTAAATTGTAATTGCAATGCAGTTATAAGCAGCTTACATGAGTCTTCTTCAGAGCAGGGGAAGCAGTGTCACACAGTAGGGGCCGTGGCTCTAGGCTTGTCTTCGGCTGCTGCTTGTCTCTGAGAAAGTCAGTAAACTCCATGCACTTTCTGGTTTATTCATTTGTTAACATTAACATCCCCTTCATGAAGTTTTACATATCGGAGTATCTAAAACTTACTCAGCAAAGCTAGAAAATTCTATACATACTGTTATGGCATTTGTCAGTGTGCCTCTTCTCTGTCCTAGGAATAGTAGCATTTGCATAAACATTGTCTACCTCAAAGAATGTTGCAGCAGTTTGTTTCTGGGGATGATTTGCCTCCAGTAAAACTAAAAAGTGATTTTATTTTTAAAAATTGACTTACCCCCCCCTAAAAAAAATGCTATAACGTATACTACTCATTAGCAGGGAGGTGTAGACTGAGCCCTGCCGCTCCAGCAGGCACAGTCTGCGTGCAGATTGGCCCCTGTTATGGCCCATTAAGGAGCTCCCTCTGATTTAGGAGATATAAATATATGTGGTAACATGTGGGAAAAATGGAAAGTGCTGAGTATGGAGATTCACTGCTTGATTGGAAGCAGAATGATAATTTTATTTTTCTGGTTGTCTAGTTGGCGAATCCTATAAAGTACAGATTACTAAATGCCTTCTTTGTCCCTTTTCCAAGTTTGTTCTTGAAAACCACCTTCCATCCTGTCCCCTCCAACAAATTACAGATGAGGAAGGCACTGTCCCACCCTTGAAGAACTATGGCATAATTGAAACTTAGCGCAGCTATGGGCTGGCTCTACAGTGGCTGATGGGCAAGGCCAGAACCTAGGACATCAGACTGTGGGATGTACGCCATCCTAGTTGACTCTTCCACGTGCATTCTGTGGTGGGCTTTCAGTGCTTTCACAGCATGTTTCAGGGTGATGACACTGGACTTCATACATGATCCACCTCCAACTAGGTTTTACACTCCTGGAGACAGGAGCGATGTCCTAGATTCCTTGGTCCCTCTCTCCACAGCTTTGATCTCAAGCAATATTGTTGTTCCAACTTTCATGTACCCAACATTCTGACTTAGCCAAAAAGGTGTTTTAACTTTTAACTAACTCTTTCTTTCCCTTTTTTGCATTTCCAGTTGATCTGCCCCTGTTTTTTCCTCGAGATCAGCCGACTCTCACGTTTCAGTCCGTCTATCATTTTACCAACAGTGGACAACTTTACTCCCAAGCACAAAAAAATTACCCCTACAGCCCCAGATGGGATGGAAATGAAATGGCCAAGAGAGCAAAGTAAGTGGGTCCATTGTTATTTCCTTGGAGAAGAACTGTGTGTGTATCCAGTCCAGGGGTCAACTAGCCACTGCTCCGTAGGCTAAATCCTGCCCTGGGCTTGTTTTTTCAAGTGTTATGAAAACACAGTAACCCCCACTTCTTTATTTATCTATTGCTGCCTTCATGCCATGAGGCAGAGTTGGTAGTCACAACAGAATACCAGAAGTCAGAGTTATCTCCAGTTTAGACTTAAACAGCGGTCCCTTCTGTCATCTCTCACAGGGAAGCTGACATGGATCTAATGTCCCCTCGTCCTCTTTCTGTTGAACTCTAGGACTGGCCATGAGCGGCATTTTTGGTAAAGGGATTGTAGGATATATAAGAACTCTACCCTTCTATTCAGATTAGAGAACTACTAAGTAGCAGGTTGAATTGTAGATAAATAATCTCAATAATAAAAATGCTGGCAGCTACTTACATATATTTAAAATGGAAGATTTCAAATGTTGATAAACAGACTTCCTATTGAGTAGACGGTATGTGGATTCAGTAGATACTTTTTCATGGGAGGCTGCATCTCTTGAATTACGTTGCGGTTCTCATGTGTGTTGCATGGGTGTGTCTTGGTTGCATCCTCCTTAGATCTATCTGCTAACACTGTTATGGAAGTAGTGGCTTTGATGGAGGTGCCATGAAAACAATGACTCAGTGGAGCTTGAAGTCAGCAGGCCTTCTCAGTTGAATGTGGATGACTGTCACTTCAGTCGTAATGATCAAGTTGGTACAGAAACAGGCTGACTGCTTTTGGTAGATAAGACTTCATTGTCTAGAACAACAGTCTGTAGATTATTGCCTCCTATACTGGAGCAACAGTGAATTGAAATGGCAGTTTCCAAAAATAAATCATGGTGTGACATGTGGTTATTCCTTTATCACTCTGGACAGCCATATGCACACACCTGTGATCCCGACTGAAGGATGTGCAAAGCCAAAGAATCATAGAAATGAAAACCGTCTAGTAAGCGTCTTCCTCACTTGCTCATCCAGTATTTATTGTCTGCCATGATCCAGGCACTGTATGAGCATTGAGGATGGCACAATAAACAAACTGGAAAATATCCATGGCCTCATGCAGCCCAACAAAGAGATGAATCATAGCAAATGTCTGACAGCTTCGGAGTACCTGCTAACAAAGGCTGGCCTTCCATACCTAGAAACTTGCTCTATTCAGATTAGACTCCTTGTTTCCTGATACATATTTCCTTCCAGGGAAACCTTCCATCATCTCCCATCTTCTCTATATACAGAACCTTCATGTATGGTCGGCTCAGAGTTCTACAATAGAGTGCCCTTTTCCAGCACTCCAGACACCCAAAATTCCTGTGTGAGCCCAGAGTTGTAATCTGAAACTTGTGTGCCTTTCTCCCTGTATTTTCCCATTATATCCAGAACACTGGTCTGAAATTCTATTTAAGGGGTAAACAAACATATGCAAATGTAACTAGTAACAACTATTAAGACCTATGTTGAAATGCAGTGGAACAAAGCAAATATAAAGCAGAGTTTCTGTTTGAAGTCTTGCGTTGTTTAGTTGTCTGAGCTTTCCCTGTGTATACATAGAATCTGCCCTTAGAAGATGGGCCATTATTTGTGGTATGAGCTCCAGAGTCTGAAGCAGACATGTCTTTGTGGTTTCCATGGCAGAGCTGTCTCGGTGTGCGTGTGTGTACTTCTTAAGCAGGCATTTTAGGATGTATGAATTGAGTCTTTAAGGAGCTGCAAACCACGAGCCTGTGATTTCACTGTAGGAATATCCTAAGTGAAGCCTGCTTGTCTTAACAGATTGGTTCAGACTTTCAAGACACATTTGCTTTATGTTAGCACCAGTCTAAAGAAAACATCTGAAGTCGTGTTAAAGGAATCTGCCTTCTCCTTCAGTGAGATGAATCCATTTTAGATGCAATAAGAGAGACAGCTAGCTCATGCTAGCTAGAAGAAATCATTTAAAGGCCCCATTCTTTAACTGAACAATCGCAGAGACTGTGTCAGAGGCCAGGTGTTGGGTAAACATAAGCAGGAGTTGTCTTGTAGTCCTGTCTGGAAACTGGTGGAAGGCATGGAGGGAAATGTCAAACAAAAAGAAAGGTCAGCTGAAACATTCCTTGCATGCCCCGTGTCTGTATCCTGTGAAGATACTGTACACAGTACGTAAAAGACTATAATTCACTTGGGGAGCTCTGCCCACGACATAAACACTCTCATGTTTAGAACGCCCCAAAGCCCTTTGAGTGGAATCAGCTGTTTATCCTGCCTGTTAAGAGCACAGTTCTGAGCATGTGCATTAAGAAAGGACAGATACTTCCTGGCACTGAAAGCCAGGGCTTTTCCTATCACAGTGCTTCTTGCTGAAGTCAGTCCAGCCAATTCTGCCCTTAACAAGTCCAATACCCCAAAGTGAGTAGGCTCTGTGTTATGCATGCCCCAGTTCCGACCACAGAGTTTAATCCTATAAGCCCTGTATCCTTGGGTAGACTGCATACTCTTTCTGAACTTTGTCTTTTAAGACAGGTTGTACTCCATGCTACTAAGCGGACTCCGCAAGGAAGGGGCGATCAGTGAGACACTGATCTGCTCCGTCCTAGTGCCTGTGCTCCCAGCTCCATCCCCCATCCTCCTGCCTTTCCCATGTGTGCTCCTCATACACCCCAGGCAGCCCTTTGCCGCCTTCTTCCCAGTTCTGTGCTCTGCTCACATGTTTTCCCAGAATCTCTTTTGTGCTGTTTTAGTTTTCAGATCTTTATATATGTCTGTTTTCTTAACCAAATGGTGAGATCTTTAAAGGCAAAAGCTTGCCGTAATTATCTTTTTTATTGTAGTATAATTTACAATACTGTGGACAGATTTTTACATAAAGACTGTCTCCATCTTACAATGACTCAGCTTATAATTTTTGAACTGTGTAGTTGTCTGAAAGCAATATGCATTCAGTAGAATCCATATTTGATTTTGAACTGTGAGTACAGTGCTCTATGCTCTTCCAGAAAACAGTGGCAAACCACAGCTCCTAGGGAGGAAAACAGTGGTCTATGGTGCACTATTTTACTTATGTCTTCTTAATATATTAGTCCTCCTGCCATTGTGGAATGTCTATATCTGGCAAGACTTTTGAAATCGAAGTCTTCTTCAATGTTGAAATAGTTGTACCAGATTTTTTCTACATATTTTTATACTGTCTTTCTTCATCCCTTTTTTGTTTTATTTCATCTCTATCTATATTCTGAAACTTTCTATAAATTTTGATTTTTTTTAAAATCTAGCCTGATGGCCTGTGTTCTTTAATAGATTATTTGGTTTGTGTATACTTAATATAACAAGTGAGCTCATTAAGTTTAAGTCCTACATCTTGCTATTTTTTTTTTTAATTTTTATTTCCTCTGTTCTTAGTTCCTTTGTTTTTTTCCTCTTAGGTTCTTTTGGTATATTGAAGTATCTTTTCTTTTCTCTTTCTCTCACTTATACCTTTTAGTGGTTTCTTAACTCTATTTCTTCATATATTTTAGATAAATATGCAGTAAATATAACCTTTACCTTGACACATGAATTAATAATACCTATTATCAATTAATATTACAGTGCTTCATACCTAACATAAAAGCCTAAACCTAAGACAAGGTAAATCTCTTTATACCCTCAGTTAGCCTCTGTGCTATGATATCTATATGTTCTGGTTTTGCATGTGAATTCCACAATTAATTGACTTTTAACAGTCAACTGGCTTTATATTTTTTTTCTACCCAAAGGAAAACTGCAGTCCACTTCCTTCTGGTGCCTTTAGATAAGGTAGTAGGGAATCATTTCCTTGCCAAAGGGGGAATTTTTTTATAGGGCCTCATTGTCTAGCCTTAACTGTCCTGGAACTCTTTATGTAGACCAGGCTGACCTCAAACTTAGAGATTCACCGGCCACTGCCCCCCCCCCCCCTTCGCTGGGATTAGAGGAGTGAGTCTCTATACCCAGGAGAAACTTATTTTTAAAATCCTTTTCAGGACAAACCATCAGAGAGGTCATGTCCAATGTATAGGCCAAGAGCATTGAGACTTGCAGTCATTAACAAAAGAAAAGCCCTCCCACGTGACATTCCGGTGCCTCTGCATTCCTTGTAGACTTAACCAGTGACAGGGTATTCTCTCTTTTACAGGATCTCCACTGCAGCAGCCCTGAAGAAGCTCTTAGGTCCTTTCATGTAGATAAAGAATTTCCAAGGATATATAGCTAGTTTCTTGTACAGAAAGGACTCAGTTCCTTGAGCTTTTCCTTCACTGTACATTCACAGACAGATGGATGGACAAGGTCCCCACTCTCTTCACCACTGGCCTAAGTCCCCTTCCGTGGGGAACTGGCATCTCAGTAGGCACTTCAAGACCCTGAAGTCCTGGCAGCTGGTTTAAGCCTGTGTCTGCCATTCATTGATTGTGCAACTTTGGAAATATGCATAATCCTCCCGAGTCTTTGTCTCCTTGTCTAATAACTTGCTTAGAGGGTCGCTGCTTGTTCCATAGGGCTTCTGGTTCTCTGCATTGCAGTCTAACAGTAAACGGTAATCGTAAAGCACCACAGGTTTTTCCTCTGCAGTTTTGATGGGCTAGGAGGCCCACATACCATGCATGGGTCCAGACAGCCGCAATTAAGACTTAGGCTAATACTTTTCTAAGTTGATTCAGGATGTTGGGAGAGTTTTGTTCCCTGGGTTAATTGGACTTAGGTCCCTGTGTCCTTAGTAGATGTCACCTGGAGATCACTCTTCGTAACTAGAAGCTGGCTGGCTTCATTCCCTGCCTTATAGCCCCTCCATCTTTAAGCCTGCCACCACAGTACATCAACTTCTCCTTATATTCCCAGTCTCTAACTTGTGTCCCCAACTTGTCAGTTAATAACCCTTTCATAAGTTCATCTGTACCATAAAAGAAAACCTAATTGCTCGAGTGGAGCTAATTGTTTTCAGTATCTCAGATGTTACA